TACCCGGCTCGATTCCGGATTAGTCGGTTCCCCTGTGGATCCGGAAACCGGAAGGTCCCTGTACCAAAAAAAAAGAATAATTAGTTTTTTTTCCTTGTTTAACAGCTTAATTTATACGGGTTATTAATAACATAAAAATTGATATGAGATTAGAACCAATGGCAAGCTAAAAAAATCATTCTTGAGGCTAACTAAATATGAGGCACACTGGATAAACCCTGAAATTTTATAAAGAAATTAGCAACAATTCATCTAATGTTAAATTATTAGCTTCTAATAAAGTCCTGGGCTGATAAAATTTACATTGTAATATGAATATGAGACCCATAATTTATGTTCCAAAAGGCTCACAATTGGTATTTTATTTGTGGATAAAATAAAATTAAATGATGTGTAACACTTTTTTTTTTTTTTTTAATTTTTAGAGTTAGATTTTGTGGTAGGCCAGCTGGGACAAAACCCCAACGTTCGAATTCTTTTTGTTTTTATTGTTGAGATAATTCATAAGCTGACACTTTTAGAAAGAAACTCGTATATCAGTATATGCCCGTGAACATAATCAGTACAACTGTACAGTATAGAATAGAGTGCAGAATTAAAAAGTCCCGACGAGATGGTACCGTAACGGGAACCGTAACATTTTCCTTAAAAGTATACTATCTTTAGTCAACTTAAGAAGACTTAATTAATAATGCTAGAGTGCAGAATAGCAGTGCACATCTTTTTGTTTACTAAAATGATATGCGGTTACTAGCTATTATACAGAATGATGAGAAAAGCATATTGAAGCCATTGATGTTGTTTGACCTAAAATCCCACTACTTGGTACAAAAATTATGAACAATTCAATACATGCTAATAGCAAATATACAATTATTGTATACTTTTTCAATGTATTCATACAAAAAAAACGTATATTCGAACTTAAGAGCTCTCATTTGAAAGGGTGCTCAATGTGAGATGATGAAGTGTTAAAAAGAAATATGAATCATATGGAGCAAATGGCTACCATAATTTGAGTACTTATCATGTGTAGGTTTATAATGATTTATTGTCTCATGCTTGCCCACATAAAGGGCATGTTGATTATGATCTGAAAAATCAAGAAGTTTATCCGAGATCAAATTTTATTTTAGAGAATAGTAAAGTTATTGTTAGACAGATTTAACCGTTAGACAGTCGTATTTATTCAATCGAATACGCATACGTTCAAACTAAAATGTCATATTTTAAGAAACAACATATACACGATTATGACATTTCATAGCATATACATGTATATATATATATATATATATATATATAAAGTATAACGAATCAATTCGACCGAAGGTTATACAAAGTTGTGTTTAAGGAGAGACTTTGGATGCCCTAAATTTGGGTGGATGATGTCTGCCAGAATAAAGAAAGTGAAGAGAACATGATTCTCACATTCACTAACTTCACTTTTCTCTTCTTTTACATTGATTTTTTTTTTATTTTTATTTTTATATATATATCAAAGCACATTTGCTAAAAATATGCTCTGTGTGTGGGCTGCCAACAACACTCTATATTCTTTGCTCTTTTCCTACTTTATTTTCTTCTTATTTTATTATTTTTTTCTAGATATTATTATATTATTAATATTATCATTATGTTTGTATGCCCTTTTGCATTTGACATTTTTCTCAAAGTTGTTTTTTTTTTCCTTATCTCTTATTACAAGAGATTCTACGGTCCTGTTACGGAATCATTCTGTCGAGATATGTAACCGTTAAATCAAATATCCACAAACACAATGGTTACACGATGATCTAACGGTTACAAATCCTGACAAAATGGTTTCGTAACGGAAGTGGACGATAGCATTTCCCGATATTATATATAAAGTGAATTTTCTGGAGCAATTTATATATTAAAAAAAATAAAAAAACATGTGGACAAAAAAAAAAGAAAAAAAAAGGAAGTGGAAAACAATAAAAAGCACGTATTTAAGGAATACGTTTTCCATACAATTTGTGTAGAAAACGTATTCCTTGAATACGTTTTTTCAGATTTCTTTACAAAAGAAAACGTATTCAGTGAATACGTTTTACAATTAAAAAAATAGTAAAACGTATTCACTGAAGTCTGAATACAGGATTTTTATTTTGGTCCTCTCATTCATTTGTGTATTTTTTTTTTTCCACACCTTAATTCTTTTACAATTTTCTGGTAAAAAATTCGAATTTTCTGAGGCTTAAAAAGTTATATTTTTAACGGCCTATCCATCAAATGGCACATTGTTTCTCTGGGCTGGGCCCTAAAGGACCAATGTGTAGTTTGGGTTGAAAACCAACTGTACAACTCAATACAGTTCAGTTCAGTTTTGGGAAAATTTTATAACTGCCCAATTTATAATAAAGAATTCTATAAAAGCTATGGAATATGATGAATTTCAAAAGTACTTGAATAGGAAGTTACATTAATCAAAATTCAAAATAATAACTCATTTCTTTCTCTCTCTTTCTCTTTTTTCTTCTCTCTCTTCCTTCTCACACTTCGTTTTTTCTTTGTTCTTCTTCTTTTGTCCTTCTTCTTCTTCTTCTTCTTCTTCTTCTTCAAATATTAATGCCTAAGAATAAAAAACAAAAAAAAAAAATATTAATCAATTTGTTATATACATGCATAAAATAGAAATACTTAAAAACCAAATATTTATTAAATTAAATTAACAACAATAATAACCATGATAAAGTAGACTACAAACACACAAAATTATTGTCATTCAATAAATCACATTTAAAAACAAAAAGGAAAATTGAAAAAAAATATCAAAGTAACAACAAAACAATAACATAACAACAGTCAAACAACAATAAAAAATTGTTATTATAACATAACAACGATAAGTAACATGAAAACAATTGTTACTGCATATCAATTCAGAATAATCAATATACAAGAAACCCAAAAACTGGAAGAGTGGACATGATTCACAATAAATTACAATTCATTCATTAAAAATAATCAAATAATTAATATAAACATCACAAACGAATCTCACCACAAGAAAGTCGAAAACTAAATTAATCTCGAAAAAATTGTCTTAACCTGAACCCCAGATCCTAATATTTAGTAGCACTACATCCACATAAAAACTATTGATTTTTTGTTCAATTTGAAAAAAAAAAAATTCCAAATACAAAAAATTTCCAATCAATCATCGTTTCTCCCAAATAATTTGTCATGTAACGTCACCAAAAAGCAAAATAAAAGGACCCTAAAATTTTTGTAAAGAAATCGAAAGAGGGAGAAAAAAATGAAGATGAATTGAGAGTGGCAGTTACCTCAAATTATTTTGGCTGCAAGAAGAGTTACCGTGATGCGAATCCTTCCCCTCCGAGGTTGTTGACGACATCGAATCATCCATTGGGAAATATCACTGGAAAATCGGCGTCGAGTCTACCGCCGTAGAATCGAAGAACTGGACTAGGGCGTCGAAAATTGCATCATAATTTTCTGGGTATAGCCGACATGATTTTCGAGCAGAGAAGATAAAATAGGCGAAACAAAAAAAAAAAAGATAGAGAGGAAAGAGACAGGAACAAAATGAGAGAAGAAGCAAAAAGTGAAAAGAAAGAGAGAGTGAATAAGAGATAGAAAAGAGATGGAAATAAAAAGATACAAGAGAGAGAATTAATAAAGATATAAAAAAAATAAAAAAAAAAACTGCCACTTAATAATAAATAGCGGGAAAACGGTTATTAGAAGCATATTAGACTACAAAAAAAGAGTAGATGTGAAAACATATAATGCAATTTTGACTAAATAATATGCAGGTCTCTTAATGTAAAAAGTTTTTAATAATAGATGAGGGGCGTCAATCTTTCGTTCAGTTTTATGTTTGAAAAAAAATGCTTAAAAGCCACACCTTATCCACTTGTGTAGTTCTTCACGAGCTGCGGTACGTATATATACAACCATTCATTCAAACACTCAATAAGAAAATTGGCTATAAAATCATGGCTTTATCATCATCGTCAACAGTATATCCGCTCTCGAGTTTCAGTCCGACCTCTCACTCAAACCGGAAAAACAGTATTTACAATGCGCTTCCGATGACCGTCCGATCGAGGCTTTCCGACAACTCTACCCTTCTCCTCCAAGCCGCTAAATTCACAGTAATTACTCTTTTATCCGTTGTTTTTTTTTGTCCATCTTTTTACATTTTGAAATTCACAATCGATTTGCACGATTTTGGTTCTTGGTGTTGAAGAATCACGTTTTCAAGCACAAATTGGATCTGTTTCGAGTATTAATAGCCACTCTTTCTGGTTCAATTTCACGAAGAGTATGAAGTAAATGGTATCTTATTGCTGTGAAGTTTCTACAAATGGTGAAAGCCGATTTTAATCCTTCACATTGGGATAGTGAAACTTGATACTTGTGTTGAAAAGGTGGATTCATTTGTGGAAAACGGGATGGTGATAGGGTTGGGGTCGGGCCGAGCTTCTGGTTTTGCTATACAGTATTTAGGCCGGCAACTTAGATCCGGAACCATCAAAGATATTACCGGCATCCCTACGTGAGTTAAAAAAAAAAATGGATTTTGAGGACAATGATCATGTTAAGATTGTCTCGTTTTTCTTTGCTTTGTTTTTTATAGTTGTTGTTTGTCTATACCAACGATTGACTTACTTATTTTGGTTGTCGAATGGCATCCTTCTATATCGGCCTCAATGTAGCAATTATGCTTCTTCAGTATGTTTTCCTTCTTTACATAGTCACATGTTCTGAATTTCTTTGATTTGAATGAGTACTTGAATAGGCGCTAAGTAGTTAATAATTGAAAGGAACCAAGTATCATCACTTGATTGCCCTACTGTCTCTCTCTCGTTTCTTCATTAGGAGTAACTAGCAAACTGTAATGCAGATCTGTCGACAGTGCAAGTGAGGCAGCAAAGGCAGGTGTCCCTCTGGATGATTACAGAGACAGCTCGAAAGTGAGCAAATCTTCGGTGGTTTTTACAAATTCTTACAGCCTTAAATAATTATTTTATGGTGTTTGGAATTTGATCTGCGTGGTGATGTTCTGATATTTATTTGGTCATATGGCAGTTGCCTCTCATAAAAAAAAAGTGTATGATTGTGTATCTCTGTTCTGTGGTATAGTTGAGCAAAATTAAGGTAGCAATATATTGTCAGGAAACAAGAGCTGATGAATCTCGTGCTCATTCTTGACATGCTAAAGTTGCATCAAATTATTATAATGTGTCTATTGATAGGAACTCAAAATTCAAATTATCGCTGCTCAACAACAATATTAGTTTTGAGTTCTTGCAAGCAACCAGATTTCTTGTCCTTGTCTGTAGATTGATTTAGCATTCAGTGATGCTGATGTCATCGAAGAAGAGTCACTAACAGCAGTTATTGGTCGTAAGAAGTTGCTGGGTGGTGAATCCTTAATCCAAGAAAAGGTCAGTCAAAAGTAAAAAAAAAAAAATCGTCAGTAATTATTTATCTTCAGCACTTGAAATGTCATTTGGAGGATACACATAAAATACTATCATCTTTAATATTGTGGTGTTTTCCTTTCAAGTTTTTCAGTAAAGATTCCCTTTTGTTCAGCACCATGGTGAAGTCATTCCAAGCATTGTTTATTAAGTAATTTATGATCATAATTATTCTGTAAATTTGTAAATACGAATCCATGACGTTGTGCTTTGTGGTCATTTTTACCATTATTTAAGCATATGAGTTCCTTTAGACATCGAGATCTCTTGTTCAGATACACTGATTAATTCAGCTTGTCAGGCCATACTGAGAGCTGCTGGAAAACTGGTTCTCATTTGTACCAAGCAATATCAAGGTGTTCTAGATGGATCAATTCCAGTTCTAATCAACTCTGTAAGGCTAAATGAAAGTTCTTTTGAAGTTACAATGATACATGTGTTTGAAATTTACACTTTCCAGTACATCTCATTCTCAGGTCAACTGGTTAGAAACTGCTGAGGAAATAGACGACCTGTTTCTTGGTGATGCTGAGGTAATCAATCAAACTAGTTTGATTTACAATCATATTAATCAACGACAATATTATATAATGATGCATAATTTTTGTTACAGCCCAAGTATAATTAAATATCCAAAATTCTGAGACTGCATTCTGTTTCTTTATATTATACCAAAAGGTCTGGAGAAGACCGGCTGTAGGCTATGCGGGCCCATTAGGAGGTAATTTCCCGCTCGTCACTAGAGAAGGACATAACGTTCTTGATGTAATCTTTACATCTCCGATTCCAAACCTTGGTACAAAATACAATTCTACATCCTTTTTAACTTTTATACATTAAATCTCCCATTGTGTGCGAATTTTCTTATAGAGTATTTCATTACTAGGGGATTTATTTCATTTCAGGTGAAGTGGCTGATAGACTTGATCAGGTAGCTGGCGTAGTCGAGCATGGGGTCATTTCCAGAATCCCGTGAGTTCAGAGTATTTTTCTTCATTTTTTGTTTTGTTTTGTTTTTCGTCATTTTTTTCTTTCTTCTCTTTTGTTACGTATCTATTCATAATTTGCATATGAAATCGCAGGTGCACAGCCGTGATAGCCACAGAAAACGGAATGCGCGTTTTTAGAAATTCTCTTAAGAATGAAGGAAGCAAGGTTGTGTAGCCAATATTGTACAATTCAGGTCATAGCTACTGCATATTTGTGTGCCTTTCACAGTTCTATTAACAGCGTTGTAAAGTTATAGTGTTGTAATTGAATCGAGCGAGCCAAGCTTGGCCGTTTCGAGCTCGTGTTCGTTTACATTCGCACAATGTTCGTGTTCGTTCGTTCGTGATAATTTAGGACATAAACTTTTTTTATATTTATTATTAACTCGAAATTTGTTCGTTCGAACTCGAAAATTTTAAAAATAATATTTTTATATATTAAATTAATTTTCTAAACATATCATGTAAATATATAAAAAAAAGAAAATAAAATTATATTCAATTAATGTTCATGAACATTATCGAACATTCGCGAATGAACTTGTGTTCGTTCAGTTATTAAACGAACCTAATTCAAAAGATCGATTAACAAACAAATAAGCTTTTGTTCGCAAACGTTGGGTGCGATATCAACCTAGACTAAATACACCTCACAATTTTATGGAGACTTTACATTTTTGTAAGTACACCTTAGAAGTTAAAAATTACAATCCCGAAATCTATCGGTTGTAGAGAGTCCAACAGACTATTAAAGATTGTAGAACAACAATTTTTATATATAATACAAATTTAAATTGTGAAGTTTTAAGTTTTTATCATGTATAAGTTTTGCACTTTTTATCATGTATGATATGATGATTTAGAAAGAGGATGAGAGATCGTGATTGCATCATTACGAAATTAGGAATCTTACATTAGTCTTGCACACGTGAGTCCATATATTTTGGTCAATTTATTTGTTTCTACACTTTCAAAATAAATTCAATTAATACTAACTAATTATTTCAAAATATTTAAATAATCCTCCTCTATATATTAATTTAAAATAAGGTTGAGCCTGATGACAGATTCTCACGCTTCGGATGCTGATATGGCGAAAATCTATGTTTGGTGATGTTTTTTTTTTTTTTTATATTTTGCTCTGGAGTTAAATTTGGTATTAAACATAAATAATTTTACACATATATTCATTAACTCAACACCTATATTATACATGGGTATTAGTACTAGTTCCTATTTAATTTACAAAGCAGTACAAAATTATTCTATTTTTAATACACTAACAATTGATTAAAGAATTACAAAATTATTATTCCTATTATTTTATTATATATGTAAAAAACTAAAAGGTACCTAATATTAAAATTGATTCGGTTGAACTCGCATCGTCCTCCATTCTCACGATCTCACTTTTGCCGGAAAATTTGTAAGCACCCAAAACGAACAGAAATCTGAACAATGGCGGCGGCCGGAGGACCCGATCCGCTATTCGGATTGAGGAACAATTTCTACTTGGGAGCGTACCAGGCGGCGATCAACAACAGCGAAATCCCTAACCTTTCTTCAGATGAAATCGTCGAGAGGGATTCTCTAGTTTACCGCTCTTATATTGCTCTTGGAAGTTACCAGGTAAGATCTGATTATTCTTCGATTGGGAGGCTCTTGATTGTTATTTTGTCGATCTGTTGGATTTTCATTCAATTTTTTTTAGGTTTGTTGTGTTGTGTTTTTATGAGCTGGATATGACTCGTGTAACTTGTTCGTTTTCTTTGATCTTATGGTGCGTAGCTTGTTATTAGTGAGATTGATTCAGCTGCGGCAACGCCACTTCAGGCTGTGAAGCTGCTTGCTCTGTATCTCTCGAGCCCTGCAAACAAGGTGATTCTTGGGTTTGTTTTTTTTGGTTTTTTTTTTTTTTGTTTTTAATTAAAATGCATTTGATCTATGGGTACTTACTATGATTTATTAAAATCGTGGGATTTACGTTGTATTGGTTTGAATTTTCGGACGTGGATCTGGAATTGCCAAAACTCTAGTGAAGGTTCCGAGTTCGCTATTTCTTTCCGGAGTATAGAGTAATTGATGATGGTCTCAAGGAATAAATCAACCTGGGTTTTACCTGTGAATCAGGTTCAAGTATATGGACTGATTCTCTGAAAGAAAATTGTAGATTTGGAGATGATAGGCGATAGGCTGATAGCTCATAGCAGTGACATGGTTTATGGAATCCCTCTTTAGAATTCATGAATTACTTTTCTATTTATTTTGGTTTAGGGGGTGTTGAATTGTTTGCTTGTTTAGCTTTGGGGAGTAGGATTGCAGCTTGTAAGTAGACTAGGAGGATATGATTAGATCTTATGCTGGAGAAGAAGTTTTTTTGCTATTTTGGAAGAATGAGAAATATATAAATAACTGATGTGGAATTCTAGGATAAATATACCGAGACATCATAGTTCAGAACATAATGAATGTAGCATGCTATACTGAAAATGGCGGTAGAATTTACATGTATAACTTTGGGGATGAAAGAGATAACTACTATGATACTGATTGAGTGCACTTCATTTCAGTTACTTTTTCCTCATTGTTGCATGTCGAAATGATCTCATGTGAGTAGTGATTTTCTTGGTAATTGCTTTGCCAGATGATTATCCTAACTGTGCTGGGCTAATAATACATGTGTAGGAAATGGCAATTTCAAGCCTCCATGAGTGGTTAGGAGATCCAGCCATTGGAAACAACCCGATCTTACGTCTTATTGCAGGAATTATATTCATGCATGAACAAGATTACAATGAGGCGTTGAAACATACAAATACTGGGGGAACAATGGAACTGTGAGTGATTGCTTGAATAAAATAATGTTTTTTAAATATATGAATACGGAAGTTTCTTGCATACAATATTTTCAGAAATTTTCAGGATACAACCTAACTAATCTTCATCCTCCACGATTCCCTTTTGACTCCCAAGAATGTGTTTCCATAAGTTTTACTTCGCGAAGAAATGTCTAATTTATTTCCAAATCCAGTAAAGAACATGATTGCATATTGTAAATTATTCCATATTCTACCGGTTTTTACGAAATTTTATGCTCATTTTGAGGTCACTTATTCCAATTAAGTTTGCATGTACTGTGTGTGCTGTGTGTGTACATGTCTGTTTCTGTTCTGGCGGATTTAAAACTTTGATATCAATATATATTAACAATCATGGGCTTGACACAACATTAAGCTTCCTGCAGGTATGCTTTGAATGTCCAAATTTTTCTCAAGATGCACCGATCAGATTATGCAGAGAAACAATTGAGAGTCATGCAAGGAATAGACGAAGACCACACCTTAACTCAACTTGCTAATGCATGGCTAAACTTGGCCGTGGTAAAAATTTTATTCCATGATCTATATATGTATATATATATTTTTTTTTTTTGCACTGTTTAAACTGAGGATTTGTATAACTTTACCTATTCGGCTATTTCTATTTGCTAGGGTGGTTCGAAGATCCAGGAAGCATATCTTATTTTCCAGGACTTCTCAGAGAAGTACCCGATGACTAGTTTGATTCTGAATGGTAAGGCTGTTTGCTGCATGCACAAGGGCGAATTTGATGAGGCTGAGACACTTCTGCTTGAATCCCTGAACAAGGTGGACTTTAATTAGATTACCAAGTAGAATATTTGTTTTAATTTTAGTTGTGTGTAACAATTTTATACTGAAACACGATACTTCCTGTTCAATATTTTCTTTTCCATTTAAGTCTAATATGCACTTTTTTGTAATCTTAAATTTGTGATAGAGTTTATATAGTTTTTTTTTTTTTTCGATTATTTTCTCTCTTTCTTTTGAATTATGTGAGATTTTTTATGGTTAATGCAGGATGCAAAGGATCCTGAAACACTTGCAAACCTTGTCGTCTGCAGTCTTCACCTTGGGAAACCATCATCACGCTTTCTCAGGTTTGTGATATGAAAGTTGGAGTGTATTGAAATAAGATCCTCAATTATTTTTTATTTTTTATTTTTTATTTTTTATTTTTTAATTGGAATAGCCATTTTTTAGGAGAAATCCCTTGAATAGAATGACTCAAATCATTTCTTTTGGTTTTGTTTGTTTGAATTTACTTCTGGTACTACTTTACTCATCACCTAAATCTCTTGTTTTATAATGTTGTTGCAATAATATTTACATGATTTCTTTGTTTTGCTTCTTCTCAGCCAATTGAAACTGTCGGACCCAGAGCACATATTAGTAAAGCGTGCATCGACTGCAGAAGAGAGTTTCGACAGGGCAGTTCAAACAGTTGCATGAGGAGTTGGGTTGCCCTAATTATGAGATATATTGTTTGTTTATCTAAATTTCTGCTATTATTGGTAAAAAAAAAAATGAAGTGACTTTTTTGGTGTACCAATTGATAAAAACCAATTTTCGACTATTGCTTTTGTTATGGCTTTGTCGTTTGTTTCTATGGTTGTACGGCACCTCAAGTTAAGATCGCCGTTAGACCACTGGAATTTCGTCACTGAAGTCCGAATCATTCCAATTGAACAAACTTTTTTTGTCACTACTTTTTTCGCGTACCACTACTATTAGTTTGAATTTGCTAGATGAAGGCCAATTTTTCTTAAGTTCTTGTTCTGTTCCAACAGGTTTGGGGATCAGATAATGTGTAAGGGACCATGCTACACAACAATAATGAGTGACACATAATATAGACATGACAAGATTTTACAGTTTTACACATCACATAAATACACAAATGACAAGATACACACATGACAAGATTTCATGGTTTTACTTACATATAAATCCTATTCTTATACATCAATTATATCAACCTTTATGTTAAAATATTATGTTAAAGTAGCATTACTTTGTCAAATGAACTTGAAATAGATGCACATATATATATATATATATATATATTATTTCATCTGTATATGTAAGCTGGTTGGTAAAATAAATCTGGAAAAATCAGGCACAGTAATCCAACTCATGAAATTTTAGCGTCAATGTCCTACAGAGCGAGACGTATAAAAATGTAATTCAGAAATCATTAGCTCGCCAAGGGGATGTAGCTCAGATGGTAGAGCGCTCGCTTAGCATGCGAGAGGTACGGGGATCGATACCCCGCATCTCCATACCTTTTTATTATTTTCCATTCAATTACAGAAATTTCATTTGTCTCCCAATTTCCATTTCAATTACAGAAATTTCATTTTTTCAAAGATAATTCAATGGAATCGAACGCAGTTTTCATATTTAAAGTTGAACGTTTATTACTAACTCCGCCGGTTTCTTGCATCCTGGCGGCGGTGGCAGCCGCGTCTTGGGAAATTGAATGGATAGCTCTTTCTTCCACACCCGGTTAATAATTTTAATTGTGAGAAAGAGATTTACTAAAATATATTGTGTTAATTTTACATTCTCCATTGTCTTTTACAACTATAAATCATCAGAAGTCACATATTTGTAGAGAAAAAACGAATCAAAATTCTCCATTGTCTTTTACAACTATAAAATCGTCAGAAGTCACATATTCGTAGAGAAAAAACGAACCAAAATGATGTAAGTTCAGATTTAACTAAATTTCTTATTTTGTATTTTTTGTATTGGGTTTTCGAGTCGCGTCATGCTCATCGTTTCGTTTACCTCTAATAATTGTGTTTTTTTTTTCTAGTTGTGTCGTGTTTTATGTCATGTCAACCATTGTCACGACTAATTGATGACAATTGTTTGATACTCATGCACCCTTGCATATTCAACTAATAACATAACTTACTCCAATTAAAAAAAATATCGTCTCGAGACAGCATGAGTCTCAATCCAACCCGTCCCCACCCAATCTATGCAGTGTAGTCGAATAGCGATGTAAAAAAGAATTACATCAAACCTCTCTCCTCAAAACACTAATAAAATCAGATAAAATAATAATAATAATAATAATAGAGCTTAACCAAAAATATTAGGCTTATCTAATAAAAGTCTTCTTCTTCATCGTCGTCGTTCTTCTTCTTCATGTTAGTCCTCCCTCTTCAGAAACTCCTCTTCTATTATATATTATATTATATTTACGCTGACACCAATAGAGGGGTCGTTTCATACCCGTTAAGGTGTGCCTTTTGCCATCTCCACGCAACCTGAAGACTTTGTTGAAGGTTAGTGTATTTTGCTGTCCAGTTGAGTTCAATCTTGATTTTGGTCGGGTCACTGTATACTTCTGCATAGTCGCCAGGTCGCCTGGGAAGGAGCTCGACTTTTATGGCAACCCCAGTTGCTTTCTTGCAGGTGATGCAGAAGCGAAGTAGAAGAAAGGGAAAGAGAGAATAACTTCTCTGTTGTTTATAAAATCTGATCAAAGTTCATTAAAAGCCGCCTGGCTATGCGTAGGAGTACAAA